ATTCAGACATCATATATAATTGACTACTTTCTACTGTAACTCATGATTAAATACATTAAAGTATTGATTACTTTCTACCATAACCCGTGATTAAATACACGATATTTATTGACTACTTTCTACAATAACCCATGATTAAATACACTATATTTATTGACTACTTTCTACTATAACCCATGATTAAATACACGATATTTATTGACTAATTTCTACTATAACCCATGATTAAATACACTATATTTATTGACTACTTTCTACTATAATCCATGATTAAATACGCTATATGTATTGACTACTTTCTACTATAATCCATGATTAAATACACGATATTTATTGACTACTTTCCACTATAAACCATGATTAAATACACGATATTAATTGACTAATTTATACTATAATCCATGATTAAATACACGATATTTATTGACTACGTTCCACTATAAACCATGATTAAATACACGATATTAATTGACTACTTTCTACTATAATCCATGATTAAATACACGATATTTATTGACTACTTTCCACTATAAACCATGATTAAATACGCGATATTTATTGACTACTTTCCACTATAACTCATATTCCTCATCCATTTGCTGCGAAAACGCGTTCCGCACTTCAGGGCCATGGATGTGGTGTATGAGTGACTTTCATGCCCCATTGGTCGGTCAGACAAGAGTAGTCGAAGAGTTGGCGTTGGGTACTGTTGACTAGTTGCCTTCCCTCTATTATATTACCTCAAAATTAAGGACTGCTCTGCACAGATACCTTATATGTCTCTTTATGTAAAATATTCTGAAACAAACAAATAAACTCCTTTCTTAGCACAGGTGATCCTGGAAATAATAAATGATGCAATCTGTGTTCTAGTCATTTTAAATGACAAGGTGGATTGATAATTTTAAACGTCATATGCTTTTAAAACTCGGATATAGATTTATAAATCCAATATCTTCAACGTTATTCGGGTATTAGAAGAGAAAGGGAAAGCCCTTTTAATACTACAGGGATATTAAGAATTTTTTAATTTTATAAAGACAAGTATGAATTGATTAGGTAGGTATAGTAATACAGAAAGTTTTAATGCTACAAAAAGTATTGAAACAAGAAAGTCAGAACTACAAAAACTGAGTTACTTAAAATAAAAAAATATCATCCCTACTTTCGCAAAACTGTAATTATGTTAGCCTGAGCCAAAGTAGGGATAATTAAAAAAAAAAAGTTTAAGTAACTCAGTTTTTGTAGTTTTGACTTTCTTGTTTCAATACTTTTTGTAGCATTAAAACTTTCTATATTACTATAGCTAGCTAGGTTACGTATATATCGATTCCTGCTTGTCTTTATAAAATTTAAACATTTTTATTATACTTGTTTGTTTCCTTTTATTAGCTGTATTTTTGTGTGCAAATAATACCAAGCGTGGGGCGCGCGTATACTCGATTCGATTTTATTACTCATCAGCATCTCTATCAACCTACCCTCAAATCTAATTATACACCCAAAGTAGCACATCGTTCGTTTCATATATATATATATATACTAGTATTCTTTCCGGTACAAGAAAGGAATCATTGGGACCCCAGACGGAAGAGTTCTGTGAAATAATTAAAGCGAGAAGATTCGTCATTTTTTTCTGTAACTTTGTCTGGGAAAGTCATTTACTCACTTACTTAGATGAAAATTCGTTGATATAGTGAATTTTTGATTCACTCCATCTTTAGGCGACTTTATAAGTATAATAAGCTTTAGTTTTGCCTAGCCAATACTGTGAAATAGTCATTGTTAATATTCAGATATTTTAAAGGTGCTTTTAAACGAGCGATTTTATGGCCGTCGTTTTGTGTCAGCAAGATCCCTACTATTAAGTACTACCGTACGTAATGATTTTAAAACACTTTTAATGGGATGAAAAACAACAAGTTTAAAAAATTAAACGAGGGCTTCAACTGCTGAATATCGAACAACTGTTGTGTTATTTATTATTCATGATTGTTAAGCACGTGACTGTCCTAAAGTTAGCCATTACTTTGTCCACAACTCTACTAGTTAAGTACATATTTAATGAAACTATCTTCTCGCTTGCTGGCTTATCTGCAAAAGCTTTGTTTCACAGAGCCTCTTAGTAAAAAACAACAAACGATTTTAATCAACGTTTGGTTACACAAAAAACTGGTTTTGATCTACCACGGTAATAATTTCCTTAACGTGTAGTCCACCTCATTTTAAGCCTCAAAAACAGTACCAAATCACCATAGGGTGGTTTAGATTTCACATAAATACAGTTGACGATTTCCTATGACAATGATGTATAAAATATTGAATTTGGCTGGCTTATTCGTTCTAGTCTTTCGTCAGCTTTAAGCGTTTCCAAAACATTGTGTGAGCATTACAATCAATAACAATATTACTGCATAACTATTTTAATAGCCGAAAGCTGACAAAGTATTGGAAATCGATAGTCTTCAACTCTAATTTGAAATCTGAAATGAATAAATTAAAATAAATGAGATAAAATACATTTGTAGTTTATGTGATTTTTATCACAAATATTACTACGTATTTTGAAAGAATGAGTACCTAAATCTGACAGAAAATACGAAACAATAAGTATTTGGAACTAGAAGGATATTGCTCTAAAGAGTGGTATATGTTTGTTTATGTGTAAAAAATGGATATTAAAACATTTAATACAAAAGTTATATTTCCAAACGCATTTTAAGGTTGTGGTCATAAATAAACGTCTGGTTTTTCATTTCCTCGAAATTTCTTCTAATACATTATTTAGGTACAAATATACTACTTTAAAAGGTTAACGTATGCTCGTTGTTTATTAATTATTGTTGTAGTAATGCTAGGAAGATACAGGCTAGAATGAACGAGCATAAATGCGACTATCAACAGTTAAACATTATTTTTTTGATCATACATACGAAAAAACAAACCTTGGTTATAATAACAATTCCGGTAAGATTATACCTATCTTTTCTCTGTTTTTGAGCGTCAAATGGCAAAATATTTCAAACCACGCAAAATCTGTGTTCATAACTTAACCAGGGAAATTTAGTGCTTAAATTGCCATACACTTAATACAAAACACTGTGCTATGTAGTTGGGGATCTGTTAGTTTAGCCTTTGTAATATATTAAATCTTCAAGGCTAGTTCTTTCTATATGAAAACATTATATTACTCTAACGTAGGTGATTTTTAAATCTCACAGTACTCTCCAAAACGATACGTATTTGTTTGATTTAAAGAGTATTAAACACCAGTAAAAGTAAATCATTGTGCTTTGTTGTTTGATTTGTATTTTTCTTCAAATAATTTAGTGATTGTTTTTTTTTATTTAATTTATTGCACTGTTTGCTGGTCCTGCTAAGCGTTATCTAAGATGAAATATTCTAAACAAATTTAATTTTAATGAACTGAATAATTAATTGAAAAATACAATAACAACTTCTACAATAGACAACTTCTGACCTAAACTATTACAACGTTTTGACCCATAGTATCCAGTCGTCATCAGGCAGGAGTTACGTTCAAAAATGCAGTTGAATTCCATAGAACGTTAGACTCGTGACGATGAGTTTGTAGGTGGGACAATAGACAACTTCAGACCTAAACTATTACAACGTTTTGACCCATAGTATCCAGTCGTCATCAGGCAGGAGTTACGTTCAAAAATGCAGTTGAATTCCATAGAACGTTAGACTCGTGACGATGAGTTTGTAGGTGGGGTTAAGGTAGCTTGGTTAGTTAGTTCGTTTTGTAATTAAGCACAAAGCTACACAATGGGCTATCTATGCTCTGCCCACCACGGGTATCGAAACCCGGTTTCTGGCGTTGTAAGTCCGCAGATATACCGCTGTGCCACTGGGGGTAGTTGTTTTAGTAAAATGAAGTGAATAAAATATTGATATAGATAAAAAGAGGTTCCTGGATATTTATTTGACTTTGGTGACTTTGTCATTAGTACTTCAGCTGATTTTCTTCCGCTGATGTCTGGTTTTCTTTGGATGATTTCTACATTGTTCTCAGTGATAATATAGTTTTGTTTCTTTAAGACGTTTAAAACCACGTGAGGGCCCTTTATGATGTTCAGTTAGTCTGAGGTTAATTTATAATTATCTGTCGGTTTCTTGAATATGAACTGTTTACATGAATTGCATTTGATTTTAAAAATATATGATTATATTGTTTATATTTTCAGTGAGGTAATAGTTAGTAATAAGGTTCTTGATTTTAATACCTGGCTTTTGTAAGATTATGGATATTATGTTGATGTTATGTTTTTTTGTGAGTCTTTTTCATAATCCTGTTATGTTTTCGCTGATATTTTCGACATGAGGAATTGTAGTGGCGATAAAGTTGAAGTTGTTTTCATCTTTACATGAATTTCCAATTGAGGTGTTGTTCCGAGTTTGTTACTTTTCTATAAAATATAATCTCAAATCTTGATTGTTTTCTCCTTACAACAGATACTAGGAACCTTGAAATGTATTATATTGTTACGTCTCTGGTCGTTTGTTAATTTCCCGTATAAATTCTTTCCGAAGAACTTCAGAGCATCAATATCAATTCCAACATGTCAGCCCCTGCCATCACAGTTTTTAAGGCTAAAGTCACCTGAACGAAATTTGATGAACCATCGTTGACACTTAACTTTTTTGATATTCTTTGTGGTTACACAGGCGTTGTTTCCCTTCTTGTATTTAAACAGCATTACATGCCGAATGTGTATATCTCATCATGTGCCATCACTATAAAGGATTAGAGTATACTACACTTCACACATTATATTAGGCTACACTAACATGACGTTTAGGCGGTTTTTTGGAGGGTGGTTAATGAAAGTGTTCCAAAACGCGACATTGATTTCTTAACAACCTAATATATACACCATTTCTTACATTTGTATTTTTGGAAAACTGTATAGAGATTTCTACTGAATGATTTTTTTATCGCTCTATTATCTAGATGGTGTTATTTTTTGTTTCAGAATCTTCATGCATCCTTTCTTCGGACAGTCCCCCCTTACTCCCACCAAGCAGACGTGTGGATAGAGCTTCTGAAGTTTCTTCATTATAAGTGTGTCGTCTTCATACATAGTTCAGATAATAACGGAAGGTACACCTTGGGCAGGTTCCAGAATTTAGCAGATAAAGCCAAGATTAAGGTTTGTCAATAAAAGTTATAAAAAATACACAGGAGAAAAATAAAGCTCAGATTAAAGTCTATCGGTAAAACTTTGCATAAAATTGTCAAAATTTAAACTTGGGAATATAATTACCAGATAAAACCAGTTCAGTAAGAAAACAATTGTTCTCCTCTGTAAGCCTAAAATGTACACTGATGTTAAATACAAATGTTATATATTTGAATTAGAAAATCAATAACCCGGGACATGGAGATTCCCAATTCACCCATAAAAAAATAGGAAATTATACCATCCAAAAGCACTAGCGGGTTATAATTTTTGTGTTTTGTTATTCATCCAATTTGTGACCCTACGTGATTTCTTAATATGACCAATTACATATCTGAATAACGTAATAACTATAAAAAAACATAAGTGAAATTCCTTGAATTTATTCCAAACCAAATTTGAATGTCATCTATACTACAAAACGTCGTTTATTTCTATGTTTTTACATCTTCCCCAAATCTGATCTCCATGAAATTTAAGGTGTTCTTGGGTGTTTGTTTAAGCGCGAGTATCTTTGCTACTTTATACTAAGACTCTCACAACTGTTTGGTATTCTAAGACTTTACTTCTCCAAATAGGAAAGGATTATATTCAGTTGAAATTACATCTCTTATAACGATTTTACTTTCCTCATTAAGACTTAATGAAAAGAAGAAAAAACAAGGAAGTTTCTCATAAGTAGAAATACAATCACAACTTTTGCTTGGTAATTTTACTCTTCCATATAGAAATGTTCTGCAAGAAAGGGATTACACTGAGTTGAAATTAGATTCTTATAACGACTTTAATTTTCTTGGTGAGAATTTCGATTAGTAAGAGAAGGAAGTTCCTCATAAGCTAAAATAAAATTATATTCTTTATTATATAATAAAATAACTCTCATATACCAGTTGGAATGAGATTTTTCTATCGGAAAGTTCTTTAGTTGTGATCATTGATGTAGATGTAAACCAAAGTACTTTCTGTTTAAATCATAAACACTGAAATACGATTTTATAGACATATTTTTAGTTCAATATATTTTGAAATATATGTTTTCAACTTCCAAATTCAGAGTCCAAAATCTTGATATAAAACAGATAATCCTTAAATTTTTATATCCTGTGACAGTTTAATTTTTTACTTTTTTTTTTTCCAGCTGGACGATGTCATCGAATACGAACCTGGATTTACAGACATCATTCAGGATTTGGAAAAAACTAAAGATTTGCATTGTAGAGTGTTTATTTTGTATGCAAAGTACGTTAATATTTAGATCACTATAATAGCGATTAATAATTTATAACTTTTAAATGTAAAGTTAGCAAACTGAAGTCGGGTTTACTATGCGGAACGATTACCAAAACTGAAGGCGGTTAATGTTATCTAGAGCAGAAAACATAGTTACTCCATCCACATTCTACTCTGTACTCTGTAGTTGTGATGAAATCAATTACATATTACATTAGACTAACACATACTGAACACAGTAATGTAATATCACGCATAGCTATGAACAAGAGGCAATGTTTCGTCGCCAGTTGACCAACATCAAGATTCTTCTATAGCTAACCAGTCAAAATTAAACAGCATGGGAACATGAGTTTGTGATAATTTATATCCTTCTATATGCTAAACTCGTTTTTATAATATTGTTTTTATTTTCATTAAAAACTTTTTTAATAGTTTTAAAAAGGGTGACTTTCAATTTAATATTATTCAATGTTATAGGCAGAGCACAATCCAAAAGAAAATACATTATATAAAAGATACAAGTTCGAAACAACAAGTTAAAAACGTGAATAACTGAAATAATGAACATTCGACGAGACAGCTGAGTGAAATTTACAACTATGAGATCCTGAAAGCCGTAAAAATACTGGGCAAAAGTGTTCTTTAGAAATTATCAAGTTTTTAATTTCCCTAAAACTAGATATATTATTTCTCTACTTTCACAATTGACGTTCCGAATTTTCAATAGCACATAATTTTTTACGTCTAAAACTTTAGAATGTACCCATTTAGGCGATAGGCCTGATCTTATTTTCCAATAATACAAGGGACTAATGCTGCCATTATTTTTCTTGTAGATTTAATACCTCAATATTACAAATAAATATGATAATTGTGTCCAACAGGTGACTTTTTATAAATGGGGGAAGTACTATCAGGTCTGACTTGAAATCCAAGAATGGATTGAGGAAATAAGAAATGGTCACAAAGTACTGAAAACAATTTTTGTGACAAACATATCTTATGAATGGAATTATGAATTTTTTCATAATACGTGAGTAAAACAGTTAACTTAGAGAATGCTAGATCATTTGTATTATAATACTAGAATGGTTTTATCCATTCGTCATTTCCAGAAGCCTCATCATCCTCATAGTCTATTATGAACTCTTTTGTACCAGTGACCTGCTTGCATCTTGCACAGAGATGTTAACTGTATACCATTTTGAGAAAGTACAGCATGCACCACAGGTGGTTTCTCCATCTGATCGATGACCATAATTGTTTTCCAAAGCTGTTTCTACCACTTTGATAATAATCCAATTCCAACAGGACTTGGGATTTCTGGGCGTGCATTGAGCTACTGCTTCCAAATTATTGCTTCCTTGTTTGTAGTTAAGCGCAAAGCTACACAATGGGCTATTTGTTTTGTGCCACTACGGTATCGAAACCCGATTTTTAGCGTTTTAAGCCTTCAAACCTACCACTGAGCCAGTAGGGGGGGTCGATAAAGTTTAAACATTGTCATGCTTAATTAACAGGAATTTCGGTTCTAAGATCTACAAGGCTTCTGCCCTTAATTAAATGATAATGTTTTAGATAAAATTTAGAGCTTTTTGTGAGCAACTTACAAGACCTATAAATAAAACGTCTGAAACGCTGAATCTGCTTGAAGAGATCGATTGACATCTCTAATAGTTTCCTAGTTCTTGGAACGTAAACTAAAATGATGTATTCATCTTGATGATCTTCAAGGTAGTTTGTAACTCGTACAACGTTTATTTCCAGTAGAAATCATATGCAGGTTCTTTAACGATTGTACGACTGATGCGAATTATAGTCGAATGTTTTATTTCTGTATTACCTAATGATTTCTTCCAAGTCTATACTTTTTTTTTGAAATCATATAGTTTCAACACCTTAGAATGAACAAATAGTGTTCCTCATGCAATGAAATAGCTTGGAATAGACATTAGACCCAATAGACATTAGAACCAATAAACATTAGACCCAATAGACATTAGACCCAATAGACTTTAGAATCAATAGACATTAGAAACAATAGAATGATAGGCATCCCCACTAGCCGCATTGTTGGCAGTTACACATTCTGATTTGGGGGTCTTGTGTACTCATGACAGCAGGATATATGTGGTTAACCTTCTACAGTAACAAGTTCTGTTCTGAAAATTACCAGAACTCTGGTTGCTTGTTTAGCTTTAGCTATCTGTCTCAGCACCTATGTAATGAAACACGTTATCTTAACACAGTAGTAAATTAACAAACAGTGTGCTTACAAATCGTTGTTTGTTAATTTACTGCTATTGTTTCGGATTTTTTTTATCCGCACACAGTTCAACAGCTAGTGTCAGTGGTTCTCTGTAGGTAGTTGTTTGTCTTCATGCAGAAGATACATTAGGCTTCACGTACACGAATCTTACTAGATGCTTGTCTAATTGATTTTTTTATTCTCTAAGCTCATCGACACTCTGGATCACAGGTTTGCTATGCTGCATTTTCAGTTGAGGCGAAGTCTCTTTCCATTGTGAATCATCTTGTGTGATTGAAGATTTCAGTTTGACATTTAGACTCTTGAGAAATGTCTGAAAATTAGTTTTCTTTGGCAACTGTCTTGCTTTAATAGTATCCTCCCATAACTCAAGATCTTTTAGGGATACCAACTTATGATCATCACGATCCTAGTTAACTATAACACAGTGAATCTATGAGGAACGTTTCAACTGGCATCTTGCTCAAACAATTGTCATATGTGTCTTTACGTTGCAGAACTTTCTGCATTGTGTATTGCCTAAAAGAAAATATAAATAAAACAGAAAATTAATGCGATACATATAATACAAAAGTTTAAGAATATATATATATATGTGTGTGTGTGTGTAAAACAGAAGACTCATGAGATAGATATAACACAAAAGATTAAGAAAATTAAGGATAACCAATATATTCACCTAATGCCAGATTCATAAATTGCCCGAAGCAAAATGCGTGACAACAATGGTACAGTTGATTAGGCAGTGTGAGGAGGAGTCAGAATTGATATTGATAAAGAAAAAGTTGAAAAATCGTATCGTCATTTGCAGTCAGGACAGCTCCAAGCATATAACAACATATTTTACAGTTGTACATACCTTAAAACAAACAGGGTTCTCAGTGGCACGAAGTTCTTACTTCGATACATTATGCTAAGAAGTTAGTACAATCGTTTGAGAATAGGGTCCTGGTAACAATTTTTAATATTAAAGTTTCTTTACAGTTAGTAGTATAAGTGTATTTACTTTATTTTTTTAGTCGTCTTAATGGAAACACGTAGGTGTACAAACAACTACTATAAGTTATTATATATCTTATACCGAAATGCAGAATCTACATTCAAACAGCATGGTACACCATGTGCTTGGAGTCAATTCAATTAGATATTAAAAACGTAAGGCAATATTTTGATGTTGCCTTTCTTAACGGTTGCAGTACTGTATTGAGACGAGTATATTATATATAATATAGATATTCATACTAAATTTGGTATCAGCGCTGAGGTAAGCTGGAGTCAATCCTAATAGGATGATTAATATTTTAATTAGATATTGGATTCCTTTGAACGCAAGAACTCATAAAAGTTTCAACAACCTTATTTTAACCCAAGAACATTCTATATCGAAATATTGTTCATGAAGAAACATGCAGATATAAAAGATAAACATTAAAGATAATGTAACAATCGAGTACTAAGAATTTTAAGTTTGGTTTGGAATTATCACACATTGACACTAAAGTAATTTCATAATGTTGCACTATATTAGTACTAAAAATGTTAAGTTTGGTTTGGAATTATCACATATTGACATTAAAGTAATTTCATAATTTTGCAGTATATTAGTACTAAAAATGTTACGTTTGGTTTGGAATTATCACATATTGACACTAAAGTAATTTCATAATTTTGCAGTATATTAGTTTTAATTGAAGGGAATGATGTGCAACAGTAGGAATTTTTGAATGTTCATTTGCTATTAAATATTCACTCTCTGTTGTTCTATGCGTATCTGCATTTCCCTACTTTTTAAATGTTGACTGACATTTATAACAAACTGTACCCCTATTCATATAGTTTCCTCATTAAAAGCCATTGTTTGACAGTGTTATAATATATATTTGTAATTTAGAGCTCTTGAAGCACAAGGACATTATTGATAGCATGAACGCTCCGATATATCCGCTGCTCATGAACTAATTAGTACACTACAGGTATATTCATAATTCCGAATCTGCTCTTATTGTGTATTCTACTCGTCAAATTTGACCATCTTTATTTCTCTTTATCTATCTCTATGTTATAAATAAACTAGCATTACTTATAACAATCTTATTAAGACCATTAGGTCTGCCTTGAAAGGGATTATGTTAATAAGAAACTAATAACAATGAACTAGTATATGTTCGATATTGCACATCATAATATAGGTTTTTTTACCACTGTTTTTGTAGACGTTGTCATGATTTTGCGAAACTTTATAGTTCCTGAAGTTAGGTCTCCACTATTTCTAACTTTGCGATATATTATCTCAATTGATATTTCAGTTTGAAAGTTTCTGTAGTCTTTAGATTCTTCAGAAAACGTTGTTTCGTCAACACACATAAAAATAGCTAACTTGAGTAATCGTCTATAAACATTTCACAAAAAAGGATGCTTTTAATTTTACAGACTTTTAGAGCTGCATTATTACAAGTGCGGTAAAGACATTTTAATTTAAAAAATAAAAATCAGTAGCTCGCGATTGTCGTAAAACTAGAATTTCGAAAGTATCATTAAGCATAGTTTTCTGTTTCCTAAAAATACCTACTTTTCTTCGATTGTGCTGTAATTGCTCATTCAATGCTAGAAACGTGGGCATGTTTCATTCTTTAGATTTTGGTTACATTTTGTACTTTACACCGGAACCGGAACTGTTTTATGTGTTTTGAGTTTGCATATTTCTCTATACACTTAGCACTGAAGATGCTGAATCAATTTTTCGTGAAGTGGAACAACTGAAAATGACTAGTTCTGGATTCATCTGGATCGTTTCTGAGCAGGTCCTAATGGCACCTAATAAACCAGATGGTAAGGAGAATATATCGTCATCTTCTAGCAAAAAATACTAAGCCTGATCTATCATTTGTAACAGATACAATAAAACATTAGAAAATCGAGTACTGGTGATCATAAACATAACTGTGACTGAAAATTTGTGGGTTAGAAACATTTAATATCATGAACGAATAAGTAAAACCATTTCAATTCGTTAATATTAAACATTTCAACTGATAATGCTAGTGATAAGTGATAATTTAAGTCAAGACTTTTGAAGCATAATGCAAGATCTTATGTATTATGTAGATTATAGTCGCTGCTGTTCATTTAAAGAAGGCCACTAAGATGTTATGTATTCAGTGCTATCTGAGACACTCAATTCATCTTCTTTAAAAGAATACTTGTTCCTTGCTTTTTTTCTCATTGTTGCATGGGAAATTATTTGTTTTACAAACAGTGACAAAATAATTCGTCTCTCTTCTGTAATGTTAAAAAATATACAGTAGGAATCCCGATGCTTCATCTTTATTTTTACCTTAAAATATTTTCGAATACTGGAAAAAATAGCTACGAAAAAAATATTTATTTTCAGGTATATTAGCACTCACGTTGGTCAATGCCTTAGATGTGAAAGGCCACATCCGTGATAGTATTTACATCATTGGATATGGCTTAGGAGAGCTGATCACTAAAGAAAACATCACGAGTGCCCCAGATAGTTGTGGGACTGTCGGAAGAGCTTGGGAAACTGGAAAAAAATTTGTAGAGTAAGTGTTCTGTTTAATATAAACCAAATTTTAAAACAATATTTTTAAACGTACGTGCTGCATACATCATAAAGTCCTCTATCTTATTATTTCATATTAAGTACGTAATTACCAATAGGATTTCTGATATTAATTGTTTTTCTTAAAAGCCTCACCGAGAAAATGAGAATCAACTCATTGTTATTTTCTTATTTGATGCACATACCTGTGGCATATATTTTGGAAACCTTTCAGACTTATCAAGATATTACAGAAAATACAACAAATTATGTTATTTATTCGTAAAACAGACGTAGACTAAATTTCGTAAAGGATCAAAGCTCTATTTTATTTATTTTTTTACAATAATTCTTTGCACTCTGGTTAATTTCTGATTTTACTTAATTTTGTTTACCCTAGAGATGTGCCATTACCATGTGCTGGCAAAGAACATCTGGCATAAGCTGATTTATCAAACCACTTGATAATGCAGTGGGTCTGCACAATAACCAAAATACAACAAAACGGAATTATCACTAAAATATTAAATTGATATTTAACTTCCAAATGGGAAGAAACATACACGAGATTGTAAAATGAACTAACATCAATTGGTGTTGCTATTTTTTATTACACACCAGAATTGAGTGTAATTAATTAATTTCGAGGAAATAGCTTGGTAAGTGGATTCTGTTGATGTTGTGAATGTTGCCTGACAGACAGCTGTCGGTGGACTTACTATTTATATTTACTCATTAGTAAAAACATAAGCTTTCTCCATCAAAAGCAACTTTGATTTAATACAGAAACAAATTGCAGGTTTTAACATTTCGAACGAGTAGAGGCAGTACAATACTACAGAGAGTTATAATCTTAAAACTCAATTTATAATACATCACTAATCTATAACATTGTATTATTCTGTGTTCGTTTTACATCACTAATCCATCAGATTGTATAATCCTGTGTTCGTATGATGGGATTCACTAAACCCTTACATTGTATCAATAACACTCTTGGTCCGTGCTTAATTAATCATCAAGTAATTGTTGAATCCAGTCATGTGACAGTAGATAAGGGGTACAATGCCACTATATGTCTCTTTGACATCACTTTATTAGTTTCAACCATGTGGCTGACATGCTGGATTTATGTGTTGCAATAGAGAAGATAAAACTGGGAGCTAATTCAATCAAAGTTTAATTAAGACAACTGAACACTTCTAACAGCATTCCAAAGGATATGTAATCTAGTAGTTATGAACTCTGACTGGAAATGACAGTACGATTTTTAATTATTATTTTTTATCAATATCAATTCTGACTCCTCCTCAGACTGCCTGATCAACTGTACCATTTTGTCACGCATTTTGCTTCGGGCAATTTATGAATCTGGCATCAGGTGAATATGTTGGTTCTCCTTAACAAAGATCATCTTATGCTATAGACAAGGAAATGGTACTGAAAAACTTGATATCAGGTTGAAAACAAATAGAAACATCCAGGAAGCCATTTGGTAAAAAGTATGAAAACAAAACAAAACCCGAGCAACAACAGAGGACAATACTTCAATAGATCCAGAGCAGTCTGTGAATCAATTGTCAAGATGGCATCCGGCATTGATATAACACCCACTGTTTTGTGAAATCAAATGTGATTTTGAGGGATTTGATTAAGTATTTTTAGGATTAGAGACAGTACTATGGCTGGATGTGAATGCTCTAGTTTACAAGAATAGTGCCAAACAACCAAAGAAAATATATGTTATAATGAACCAATCATGAAGTTTAACACAATTAGTGGACGTGGCCTAATACACTAATAGGGGATGCAATCTAATAATTTAAGGTGTTTAGAAATGAGAGTTTGAAATTATTCCCAAATTCAACGTAGGACGTGATGCTATGGTGTTGTTTGTCGAGATATGTTAACAATGAATTCGGCCCGACATGACCAGGTGGCCAGGGCGCTCGACTAACAATCTGCGGGTCGCGGGTTCGAATCCCCGTCCCACCAAACATGCTCGCCCTTTCAGCCGTGGGTGCGTTATAATGTGACGGTCAATTCCACTATTCGTGAGTAAAAGAGTAGCCCAAGAGTTGGTGGTGGGTGGTGATGACTAGCTGCCTTCCCTCTAGTCTTACACTGCTAAATTAGGGACGGCTGGCGCAGATAGCCCTCGTGTAGCTTTGCACGAAATTCAAAACAAGCAAACAAACAATGAATTAACCTCATCCTTATTGTAAAATAACACAAAAGTTTAATCTACATATCTTGTGTAATATAAAGGTTTGATTTCATTTGGACAATTGGCCAGCCATTGCTTTTCATGTTGATTAGCCCCCGCCCCCCCTAGGGACAGTTTGCTAGTCAGGAAATCTAGTTTATTTGATTTGCTTATAGAAATTAAAACAGTCATGTACTGTGTGTATTTGAGATCATTTCAAACTCTAATTTCTAGACCTCCCAGTGGTACAGCGGTACGTCTATGGACTTAGAGCGCTAGAAACAAGGTTTCGATACTCGTGATGAGCAGAGCACATATAGCTCATTGTGTAGCTTTGTGCTTAACTTCTAGCAAACAAACTCATTTCTAGACACTACAGTTCAACAAAATGCTTCGGGTTTCGCTTTTTAATTACTTTCATAAACAGAACAAACACAGGTCTTTATTATAACTATGAAAGCCTTATACTAGAATTGATTAAACATAACTTTACTAAGGTTTAACGACTCAAGCATATACAATTTATGGTAATTTAACGTACTTTGGACTTGAATTGTCAAACAATAGTCAGTTTCTTGGAACAAAAAATATTTTCCTATTACAGTTATTGACGAAAATGTCAAAACAAAGGTACTAAGGAAGTTAAATAATGTTAATAACATTTTTCTAAATCAAAAATCGATAAACGTTCGATAAGTATCACTCTCACGTATCTAGGTAGTAAATCCTTATCATTAAAGTGTAAAATAGTGCAATTGTTTAATAAGATATATCTTCAAATACACCTTAGATGTGTATATACAAACTTCTTTAGAATAACACTCTCACGTATCTAGGTAGTAAATCCTTATCATTAAAGTGTAAAATAGTGCAATTGTTTAATAAGATATATCTTCAAATACACCTTAGATGTGTATATACAAACTTCTTTAGAATAACACTCTCACGTATCTAGGTAGTAAATCCTTACCATTAAAGTGTAAAATAGTGCAATTGTTTAATAAGATATATCTTCAAATACACCTTAGATGTGTATATACAAACTTCTTTAGAATAATAAACTTCTTCCCATTCAAAACAAAATAAATGAAATACAGCAACCCCTTGTCGTCTATAAATGCGTCCTCTCTGTTTGAAAGGCTACCTTGGGTCCACTACCAGATGTCTCCAATAAAGGATTGGATACCATTGTATTTCTTCCATCTATAACAACTCGCGTGTTTTACATCATTCTATGGAATGTGACTGTGATATTACATTACACTAAATCACAAAGAGTCTCTGGCCATTGAAACCTTCCAACTGGAAATAAAGGTCATAGAGAACTCTTTTAACAGGTTAATTAGAATATAAGGTTTGAAAAACGTTTTCACGCACAGCAAGACAGATAGACAAGAAAAAAAGCATGATATTTTAACAACGATTGTTTCAATTGAAAAAAATGCTTTCAATACACGTCAGCGTAAAATAACTTCATTAAACAATGAGCAGCTTGTTTAATACGGAAAAAAGTTATATATCAATACTCTATAATATTGAATCAGTGCAGTAATTCAAAATAAATTAAATAGGTTTTTAACATAAATCAGCTTATAATACAAAAATAAATTGCATAATATAAGATATAAAACATAAACTACTTTTAAAGTGTAAACAAATAATAACGTTTCAGTTTTATCATTGTACCAATGATGAAAACGTTTGACAAGAAAAACCTTTAACAGTGAAAATTCACAGCATTTTAGTTGTAAATTAAAATAATCTGATGAATAATATGAATAAGTCACTTTCAGAAAGGGAACCTTTTATTATTATGGGCGAGTTTGGAGTTACTAAAAAAAGAATAATATTTCGTATAATAAGAGGTCGCTCCTTTGCAAATCACACATAGAAGGTAAAGGTATACCATATCTAAAACTCACTATAAAGGACCTTTAAATTTAGTGGAGAAAAATAACAACGTTTTGTAATATTTCAGATTGATCCTACATGAATCGAACACTAATGAAGAAGATACACTATGCAGAACATATTGTATAGTATTTTTATTGTTAATGAAGAAGAAGAGTACTATTTAATGCTATTATACATCGATACTTTATGACTCGAAAATTAATGGTAAAAACATACTATTTGAGATTGACGTATAAAAAGAAAACACAATATGTGGCAGATATACGATTAGTGAATGAAGAAGAATAATCTATTTTGCATGTCTAGATCTTGTAACTACTTTATTTCCGGGAACTTGTAATCTGGAATCTGATGGAATGACAAGGAAAGTTGTAGTTTCCCAGCTAGTTTCATTGGTTAGAAATCCAGTGACATGATTGTGGTCCCAGGACGAGCTACTACTTCTCTAGACTCAAGGATAAGTCCATCTGTAGTATCAGATAGAGCTAGCATGTTGGATGATGCTTCCAGCAGAATATTCTTCTCCATAGGCCCAATGTTTACTCCCTGATAATGTCAAACAACGTGTAATCTTACATAGTCAGAACTCGAGTGTCAAGCATTAGAGTAAACTGAATGAGATTGAAATTTCTAGCAAGTCCAACTGAAAGAAAATAGTCAGAAATATCATGTATTAAATTTTACATGACAAGCGTATAGATTGAAAATACTTGGTTAACGTGAATTCTGCTTATGTGTCTTCCACCGTTGTCTTGTTTCCATGGCAACAGAACCCAGTTCCTATGGATAATTGGGAAGTGGGGTTAAGTTGTTGATATTGGTTCCTACTTTCTGCCTTAGGCCATACACAGATAGTCCACAATAGTGTGTATACTAAGTGC